CTAAAACTTAACAATGACAAAATGGAGTTCATACTGATTGGTACTAAACAACAGCTCTCTGAAGTCAATATTGACAGCCTTGTCGTAGGGAACACTGACCTTGCTCCTGTCTCTGTAGCAAGAAATTTGGGGACATGGTTTGACTCTCATTTGAATCTTCAGGAACAAATCCACAAAACTTGCCAATCTAGGTTTTTCCACTTACACAATGTTCGGCGTATCCGAAAGTATTTGTCTCAGGAATCCGCATGCACTTTAGTCCGTGCTTTTATCATAGGTCGCATTGATTATTGTAACAGTCTTCTATTTGGTTTACCCTCTGTTCACCTATGTAAACTACAACGCCTGCAGAATGCAGTTGTTAGGCTTATATCTAATGTACCTCGCTACAGTCATATAACACCTGTACTATGTTCGTTATATTGGCTTCCTGTTCCATTTGGCTTCCAAATTTAGAATCGATTTTAAAATACTTCTTCTTCCTTTCAAAGCTATCTATGGTTATGCGCCTGGGTACTTGAGTGACTTTATCACTATTAAAGAACAGCCGCGCTATAGTCTCCGTTCAGCTAATGGTCTTATCTTAATATGTCCTAGTTTAAAGCTGAAAAAGACTATAGGGGATCGCGCCTTTTCATCTGCTGCCCCTAACTTATGGAACGATCTGCCCCTTCACATCCGTCGTGAGGACAATTTTGAACGTTTTAAATATTTACTTTAAACGTATCCTTTTAGACTTGCTTTTCATAAGTAATGTTTTTAAAATTTTACGTTAGATACCAGGAGTTTTTATTGAAATTTTTAGCTTTATTTACTTTTTAGCTTTAATTACTATGCACATTGGAGTTTTAATTTGCTTCTTAACTTTTTAATAGCATTGTACCGCGCTTTTGATCATATCTGCATGGAAAGGGCGCGTTATAAATTTTGAATTATTATTATTAAATTGTTTTGTTGCTCGAGATCATTAATTACTTTCATCATATGGTACTTTCGACGGTAGACAGCTGGTATTTGGAACTTGGACTTATTCTCATGATAGTCAACAAACTCTATGATCGGCTTATAACCATGAATTAGACCACATTTTATGCACACCAGAACATTATCCACACATTCAACTTCCATTTCTTCGCAACAGATAATCCTATCCTCTTCACAGTCCATCAACACAGCATCAAAAAAACAAGAATGTTTTTCTACCATTTCAATCAAATCTATATGGATATTTTTATCACACTGTTCCGTTCTATATATTACAAATATGACATTTTTTATCCCCACAACTTCAAGAAACCAGCCTCAGAGCCACACATCAAAGTCGTCCTGAGACCCCTAACTCGTAAGTCGTCTCCCCGGCATCGAAAATTTCAAAAGTTGACCTGAGATTAGTAAAACGAACAAAACTCGATCCTGAGGCCATCGCTTTTCGAAATGTGTAAGATTTGGTGAGTACAGCCCATACAGTTACGACTGTTTAGTGTTTCCTATGCTTCCCTCAACATTTGGTAAGTTATTTTGCCTCGTTAGATCTTAGTATTTATTTCCCGTCTTACTTTTGTTAGTATATTTTGCATAGGTGGCTTTTCTGCTTTTCGGAATGAAAAGAGTGTTAAATCATCTGTTGAGGGAAAGTGTTTTAATTGAAGAGGACCCTTGCCTCTTCATAGATAAAGTGCTTCAGCCGGTTGAAATGGCTTAACTAGACTGCCAAGTGCTAGATTGACAAGTGCAATCAGTTCAATTGGTCTTACTGGATAAAATGGTCCATCCGGTTAAAATGGTCTAACCAGATGAAAATGGTCCTACAGCTCTAAATGGGCTAACTAAGAAAAATAGGCCTAGTGATTAAAATGACCAAACTACAGTCAAGCCTATATTAGCAGGTCACCCACAGGGACTGCTTAATACAGGTTGAGTCCATAGAATTAAGGTATCATAAAAAACGTCATATTATGCCATAGTTGACCACCTAATGTACTAAAACTCTCTCAAAAAACTAAAACTCTCTCAAAAAAAGCTCTCTATATTGATTCCGGGAGATAAACATGGATTAGATTTTACTTGAAAGATTGTTCTTAATTTTACGTACAGGCAGAGGACAACACAAAAAAGAACGTTGGAACTCAGAAAAGGGTGATCACGACCGCTCAATAGAGATAAAAATAACACCGTAATTTTAATTACCGTGTTACCTCTAAAAAGAGGTAAAAAATTCGGGACTTTGACAACCTACCGAGCATTACAGGGTGACCGCTTAATACAGGTTCGACAGTAGTTAAAATGGTCTAAGCAGTCAAAAATGTTTAAAAAGTGAAAATAGGTCCAACCAGTGAAAATGGTCTTACTAGAAAGGAGCCAAACGGTTAAAATGGTCAAATTAGAAAAAATCGTCAAACAACAAGATCAAAAATTTAAAAATGTACATCATGGGTTACCACACATGATAAAAAGAAATTAAGGACACTCTGGTCAAGCTAACATTACTCCATGCGACTGTTTTTCGCGTTCTTGCAATGAGTGCGGATTAAAAGCACTTTAACACTTGAGATACCTCAACCACCAGTATCTTCAGTTATCCTTGCATCAAGTTTTGTTCTTCTGAGAGACAAAATGGTCAAGTGGTGATTACAAAAATTAAAAACAGAACGGCGATTGCGAACAGATGCACAAGGCCGTTATAAACATGTGGTAAAATTTATGTATGCAAGACTTTTTGACCTGTATACAATATAGCACCTGGAATATTTAAATCAGGAGCATTAAGTTACTTTAGTCGCTTCAGTGGAATCAGGAGACATTGTTTTGTTATGTTATCATTAGATGCGCGACAATGATGCTTTTGGTCCGTGGTGAATCCAGTCGTCAAGTTCAGAACCTACATTATTGTTAATCACATGGGGCCACAGTGTAGAAGCACAATGTCAACAGTGCTTCGATATCGATTCAAGCCAGATTTATTATTTTTTCATGTCGGGATAAAATGAAAGATTGCTCACCTTCATCGCTGTTGATCGTTAGGAAGTTTAGAATGTCAAAACGGTGATGCATAGGAAATCGTCACCAAAATAACGAACCTTCATTTCTCCTGATAATTTCGCCAGTAACTTGATTTATTATCCAACTACACTTCTTAGCGTACGAATAACGCCATAGACGAGTAAAAAATATCACGCGGTATTTGTACTCTAGAATACCGGTTAAACAGGTGTTCTCGCATCGCGCAAGGAAAGAATTGGATTGTAGTTCCAAAAAAAAAAAATTGGCGGACAATTTGAATATTTCCGACGACGAAGAGTCAGAATAGCTGGCAAATATAGATCCAAGTTTAGTGGATGAATCGAACGAAGAAAAACAGCTAGACGACCAGGAAATTTCTTCATTTATTGAACAAAATAGAAACAGCAACATTACAACGCGCCGTTCCGCTTCGCATACTTCTGTCACGCACTCCCCGTAAATCAATATCCGCGAAATTCGCCCGCACTGAAATAACAGTTTGGCGTGTTGAATAATAAATAACTTATTAGACGTTTTGTTGTGTTGTATCGCTGAGTATTTTTACTCGTTATTTGTACTTTGACGAGCCCGTAGGGCGAGTCAAAATACGGCAGAACTCGTAAAAATACTCAGCGATACTACACAACAAAACGTCTAATAAGATATATGTACGTATGATGCACGATCCTCGCAGTAGAGAACGCTATTTATGCAATAGCGAAAATCAGACCTGAAAAAAAAAAGATATATGTATTTACCGTTTCTGAGTAACTTGCCATCACGGTTTCCATTTTAAGAACTGCCTAAATTTGGTGGTTTGACGTTGTTGACTTTCAGAAAACGGCTAAAAATAAGCTTTTAAACACGTGTACTTTTGACAAATATATCATGATTTTAAAACGCACGTTGCCGTTGCCTTGATTTTCAAGACCTCAAAGGCCAGGTTTCTAGACAACTACATGTATGAGTGATTACAGCAGAGTTTTAACTTCAGCTGATGTAGTTTGCCATAATGGTGAAAATTCCTAGGCTCTCCTATTTTTGCATGCACCAACTTTCTCCTCACGATCATGGCTATCTTCAAGCAGACAGACTGAAATTAGCCGCAGAAACCACTGTCAGACCCTCAGTGTCACTGTCTAAAGCATAAGTTCCATTGAAGTTCCATTGAAAGCATAAGTTCCATTGAAGCTGATGGCATGCAAGCCAAGATTTCATGATGGCATGCAAGCGGCACGTGTTGTGGACGGTGGGCTGAAATCTGCTCCCTTTGACGTAGATAGTGGTGTCAAGCAAGGTTGTGTTTTTGCACCACTGCTGTTCAGCATTGTTATGGCCGCTGTGATCGTATGATGCCTTTCATAATTGCGACAAAGGCATAAATTTCAATGTGCGGTACGATGGAGGAATGTTCAACCTTCGACGATTTAAGGCAAAGACCAAAGTCCACCATATACTGGTCAGAGAGCTACTCTACGCTGATGACTGCCCTCTTGTTGCCCACACGGGAGATGTCCAAGTTCTTATTGACTGCCTTAGTCATGCCACAAAGAGATATGGCCTTTCGATCTCCATAAAGAAAACTGAAGTGTTATTACAACCTAAGCCTGGTGGCTCATGGCTACAAAGAACCTGCAGTCACTATCGGATCTGACAATTTGAGGGCAGTCACTCAGTTCTGTTATTTGGGAGGTGTTCAATCTAACGATTGCTCCCTTGACCTTGAAATCGCAGCACGATTGGCGAAAGCAAGCTCAACATTTGGGCGCCTCGCTTCGAGGTTATGGGACACTCATGACATCTCTCTAGTGACAAAGGTGTCTGTCTATCAAGCAGCTGTTCTAAGTGTCTTACTCTATGGTGTAGAAACCTGGACATTATAGGCGCATTTAAACGACATTCATTTGGGGCACGGCACTCCAAGCTTTTGGCACGCGGGCCGATAGTTTTGGGTACGGTCCGCTTGATTTACACGGCAAAACATGTTCAAGTATTTTCGATGTTGATTTCTGAAACGGCACTCTTTAAATTTGTGAGTCCCTGCGCTTATATGACAGCGGTTCACATATTTCACGCGCGCCTTTGCGGGCTGTTCAAAAAGAAAATGGCAGATTCTCGAGTAAAAGCAATTGTATGGCCACTGTTTGTTTGCTGTGCCATTTCCACTTCAGTTTTCTACTTTTGTCTTTTTCCAATTTGTACTTTTGTCTCAATTTTTTCATTTTGTTTATGACTTCTTTGACAGGACCCTTGGATTGAAGCTGTACCTGATATATGAAAAGATTTTAAACATTTGACCTTTAACAGCTTTTAACTTACAAGCTTTAATTCATTTAGAGCTCGTACATGATTTCCAAAAAAAGCACTTATCAATAAGCATAGAAGTAAAGTACGACATTACTTATATACGAATGTTCCATGCTTATAGATACAGGCAAGAGAAATGCAGTGGAAGAAGTGAACAAGGAAAATATACGATTCCAATTTGTCTCTGGCATCGGAAACCTCACCAATCTTCTAAAACGTGCATGTTGTTGAATTAAATCTAGTGGAATGTGCCACTTACCTGTAGCGTGCTGTAAACTTCTCTCGTTTCCTTTGAAGTTTTGCTGTTTTCTAAAGCGAACTGGATACATGCCTCTGACCAGGGGTCGATTACTATCTCTGTGGCGTCGTTAGTCCAGGAGCAAATTTGGCCACGATTCCTCGTCGCCATCTTTCTTTCCGCGAAAAGCACAAAATTTTGGCGCCCTGAAGGCTCATTTTCGACCCCAGAGTCTTTGGTTTCGTGGTCAGTCATGAACGAAAAGACTCTGGGGCCGAGAATACTTCTGGTTTCGGCACGCGGACCTCTTTTTAGGCGAGCGGAGACTACCTCCTGAGGTGGTCTCGGCCCGCCTAAATTTTTCGGCACGAGGGCCGAAAAATTTGCTTTTACACGGCAAAAATCAAGCAGGCCGTGCCCTATTGGCCCGCGTGCCAAAATGTAGGAGTGCCATACCCAAAATGAATGTCGTGTAAATGCGCCTTATATCGCCGACATATTAGACAGCTCCGGATGCCTTTCATATGCGCTGCCTACGGAGAATAAGTGGAATCTCTTGGCAAGACCGTATACCCAACACTGCAGTGCTGTCTCACTGCCATATGCGCGGGATTGAGGCCTACATAATGGAAGCCCACCTTCGGTGGACAGGGGATGTTGTTCGTATGAGCGCCGAGAGACTACCACGAGCCCTTTTATACAGCCAACTGTCTGATGGTGCTCGGAAAGTTGGTGCGCCTAAGAAGCGTTTTAAAGATCAGTTGAAGAGCACGCTGAACAAATGCGACATAACTGACTTCGAAGCTCTTGTAAGCGATAAAGCCCAGTGGAAGACAGCTGTTAAGTGCGGGGTTGCGAAGTTTGAGGATGCTCGAATAGAAGAACTGAGGGAACGTCGTCGCTGCCACAAAGAGCGTATACTAGCACAAGGTTGCTATCCATGCCACAAGTGTCCAAAAGTTTGCCACTTTTATATTGGACTAGTGAGTCATCTCAGAGCTCACGACCGCAAGGGAGAATAAACAACATTGTTGTATGCTTCAAAACCTGGATCTGTCGGTCGCGACAGCCAAACCAAATCAAACCATTGAAGCTACTCGCATTTTTACTAGTATTGCTCTCTCTCAAGAAAGAAAGCAATTGCGGTGCTCCTAATTGATTATTGGAGGGAAAAACGATCAAAGTACAGATTTTCAAACCAACTCCACTCCTTGGAATTACACCAGAAGACCCTGAACACACTCTGGCTGATAGCCCTGGCTCTAGATCTGTGGACGTTAGTCGGATAGTAAGCATAACAGATTTCCTCTTCGGATTTCCTAAATTGTTACTTTGCTCGGAGGGAACAGGTGTCAAACGTAGCCACAGAAGTAAAGCAGAGTGACCACATAGTATCCAAATCCACGTCACTCGCCAAGAAACCTCAAATGCACTGTTCCTGAACCCAGCATGACACAGCCTGCTGTTACCAGACGTCCTCGATCGTGAAAGACAAAGCAGTCAAAGACTTACAACACATTTTCCTTTTTATTTGCCTTGAACTGCACCAGAGGACCCCAGCTGTACAGTGTCTGGAGCCATGACGAGGCCTAACATCCCCCTCCCCCCTCTTCCCTCCCCCTCCCCCTGCCTCCTTGTCAAAGACGATTTACCAGCTAACAATGACAATGCGCCCTCCTGCCCAACCCTATTCATCATATCATCATAATAGCTCCAAATATCTTTGTACACCCTTTAATAAGCCTCACATGCAGAGTTTCTATAGAAAAGATTGGATAACTTCCAGCATCACATTGATGCCGTTTTAGTTTTGCTTATCTAATGTTTGTTTCCGTCAGCTTAAGATTTAGTAACCCGGTTTCTTTTGAAGGAGACGACTTTCGTCGAGAGCAGTTTTGGTAGCTAGTTATAATTAGCTTCGGGCTCTAACGTCAGAGGAATTGTGCTTCTGTTACACAGATTGCTGGAAAACCACCTTGTTGTGTATCCCATTGTCCTGCCGGGATGTGGGGGTTAAGGTCTTACCCCATTTAATTTCTGGGGGAGGAACACCGAGCCGAACCTGTCACCAGAGCCCAGCGTCTTGTGTCAGGTGTTCGCGCCGGCAGCGGTAAATCTAAAAATGTGAATTACAATGTGTTTACGGGAAGAGAGAAACTTTCCTTACCCATCTTGGCCGTATTTTAGTACATCACTTATCATGTTATCATCCCCTAGCCAGAAATTTCTTTCTGCAGGAAATATCCAAGGCTGATGGCCTCCAGCAAAATTGAGATTGAATGTGAAGTGATCAACGTGAATCAGCCATGGTTGAGCTCCCTCTGCCTTTTGTTCCTTTTGTACACAGGGAATCTTATCACGATTTGAATTGATCACTTGATGTCATTTGCATCTTTATAGTTTATCTTTTGTTGTTTCGAAGGAAACAGTACTGCCGACACACACATCTTTTTCAATTCTTAGAAACCGGAATTTCAGCAAATTCGAAAACATCGGTCGATTGTTATGTAAATAACTTCGCTTGACGTTATTCAGTCTTTCAAACTTCCTGTACCGCCCACAACTTCTGCACGTATATTAGCCCGGTTGATGGAGTTAGGGTTGTGCTAAACGTCAGTCGTCACAGCAGCGTAGGGATGTGTTATGCCTGAAGTTTTGGGTGGCTTCCGCCTTTTGTAATCTAGAAAGCCAAACCGTCGTCAAACAGTAATGGTTCTTGCCAGCGTACATCGTTTTATAATTTCAAGGGTCTTCGTTTTGTTGATTATAGTTGTGGAATGGAGAGTATTTAGTTTCGAGGCTGAGAGGATACGACGGAAAGTGGTGAGTAATCTAACTGCACATGTATGCAAGGCGATTTTGTTCCCCTCAAGAACTTTTCCATTTCAACATCAGTATTGCACTTGTTACATCAGTGTTCATAATTTCCGATTTATTTCTTTGGTTCTGTATGTTGTCTTTATGGCCTTCTTCTGTTGTTTAGCATTTACAAAACTCAAGAAAACCCTAGAAAGGTAGTGTCTCACCAATGAACTCGTAATATTATAGAAAACGTCCATTAAATCAAGTTTAGAGGACTTCTGCTTAGCACATTAACAGTGTGATGTCCCAATTCAGTGATACTGTGAAACTTCTTCTGTTGTAGCACTGTGAACTTACGTTTGTTGCCCATAAACGAAACCTTGGTAATATTGTGAATTACTTTTGTGGTTGGTATTTTGTGACAAGCGAAGCTAATATAAATCAAGACTTTTGAGTTCTTAAATTTGCATTAATCTTCACTCAAATATAATTTTTTATTTGTCCAACTCGCGATTAGCTGTGTTCCAGGTTTAAAGTCATTGTACTTGACAGTTTCCGCAAGTGCTAGGGACAGGGTAATCACTCACATTCCGTCCACTTAATGTTTTCTAGATTGCGTGGCTTGCTTGGTATATTTTTTATAATTCTGTTTATGAATAACTGATTACTGACATTGGCTGTATTGGTTAATCTACCTTCCCGCTGTTGGTGTTGGTTTTTTCCTGGTTTGATGCAATAGATGTAAGGTATCATGGCTTGATCTGGTTTGATCTGGTAAATGTTAGGTGTCATGGCAATAGTACAACTCAGAGTTCTACCTCGCAATAATTACTTCAAATTCATTGACACATTATTTTACTTATTCAAAAACAAGCTAGAATTAAAATGCAATTTCATCAAACAATTGGATCCGGGCCATTCACAGAACGACCTCAACCATCATGTGAATTCAAGCTATTTGCTGTGATTTCCCATTTATTAAACAGAGGTGATGGACAGTGATATTTTTCTTATGAATCAACTGAAAAATCCCTCTTGTGTACAATTGCATACTCACCAAGGAAACATGCACTGCACAACACTCCAGAAGACTCCTAAAACAAATGCTTCCCATTCCATTCTGATCAAAAACTATAGTTACCTCATATTATCTGGAACATCTATTGGAGATCTCCTGAATCAGAATAACTTATGATTTCTGTCTTATTTTGTATCATTTTCCATTTCCTCATACAAGACATGGCCAAAAGAGTTGCATGATTTATTATTTCTCAGAGAACACCACAATTTCACTTCAACTTTAGTAGAAAATTAAAAATGGAGCATATAGTGTGGAGAGTTCTTTGGATAAACAAGGCCTTTTTAAAGGGAGTCTTAAGGGATCATCATGAGAAAACCCCTAGTGAACTACATTGGAGTTTTTTGGTGCATGACCTAAAAAAAGGAATTATTATCAGAGGTCCTATTATACTAAAGGGTGTGGATGAGTTTAAAACATGAAAACTTGATGTTTGATGGAGTGACGAATTGTAACAGTTTTTGGGCACTTTTCAATATGACAAACTGAATTGAATGTTCCAGTTGCTTAATATCTTCTAAATATGATGTGGGCTGAAGATCAGTACTTGGTCAGACAAGAATTAACTGCTTTGTTTAATGCAAAAAAAAATTGTTTTAATATGCTTAGAAACAAAATCAACAATGGGAGAAATTAGTCTTATTATTGCTGTGCACCATGCCTTCCTGTGAATAATTATCTCCCATGACTTAACTAGATCAGGATGGGCACTAATGGGCAGAACTGTCACATTTTCATGCATGGATTTTATGTGAATTCTATGAGATGTTGAAAGTTACTCAGAGTTGCTGTCACTCTCAGGCCCATCTGGAATATTGTAAGAAATTATCAGGTAATAGTGAAAGTGATAAAAATGCTGCCAACATATTTTTTTCTCAGAAGCAAGAACCCTTTCTGACTCCTTGTAGTGTTGTCACTCAGACACAAAGAGACTGTCTCTCCTTCATTGCTGAAATTTAGTAACAAACGTGTTACAATAGAAGAGTTTACTGACTAATATGGTAATTTTACGGCGTGCAAGTATTTCCAGTACACTAGGATTACTGTGAGTCCTACATTTACTGAATTAAGTACAAAGTGCTCTTTAGAACCCATACTAAGCTCATTGTCAGTGATTTAAATAGGTGCACGTACAATCAATACAGTGGGAGGCGCAGTGGCCTCATGGTTGTGTGCTTGACTCCGGATCGAGCGGTCCGGGTTCGAGCCTCGGCCGGGACATTGTGTTGTGTTCTTAGGCAAGACACTTTACTCTCACAGTGCCTTTCTTCACCCAGGTGTATAAATGGGTACCAGTGAATTTAATGCTGGGGGTAACCCCTGGACTAGCATCCCATCCAGGGGGGAGTAGAAATACTCCTAGTCGCTTCATGCTACGGAAACCGGAGTTAAGTATCGGCCCGACGAGCCACATGGTTCACGTGCAGGCTTTACCTTTTTATAATCAATACACTACACTCCTGATTAAAGAAAATCTGTGAGTTTACATTATAGTGGTTTTTTCAATCTCTGCCATTCGGCTCTGCCATCTTTTTTCCCCACTGACAGTTAAAATAAGCTGAGCATGCTTTAATCCAACATGGCAATGGGAATGTATGGTAAATTATCTTTTGCAATTGTAAGCAAGCTGTTTTCTCTTTAATCCTTAAATGTCATGTGGATATTGTTCAGAAAACAATATTTGGTTACATTTAGTTTATTCATAGTAGTAAGCAAAGAACACAATCTTTAGAAGTCCATACATAAAGTATGGGAGTTCAGAAGGGTACCCAGAAAGGGGTCCAGAAGAGGGGGATACCGTGACAGGTTTTGCTGCTCCTGTTTCTGGTCATAACAGGTTGCCAATAAAGTTCACATACTGAATGCACTCAAGACAAAATTGTGGGACAGAGTAGACTTTCACTACCTGTAATGGAATTGACATCAGCCAGTGCCTAAACTATCAAGAGTACCTTAACTTACATACACACATACATACGTATACTTTATTTAATCTTGAATTTGGAGTAGCTAGAGGATAAGCTAGTATCTTTGAGTTACAAGTATAATTCTAAATACTACAAATATGTAAAATGTAAAATTGTAACATTCTAAAATTTAACTATGAGAAAGAGTCATACTGTAGAATCTTGCGCTTGAAATCAGAAAAGTCAGACGTTCTAAAAGAGTCCGGAAGAGAGTTCCATAGTTTTGAAGCCATATATGAAAAGGAGTGAAGACCATAATTAAGTAGTAGTTTTTGTAGACAGTAGAGACAAAATATAATTTCCGCGTAGATTATAGGATACAGACTGGAAACTAAACATATTCCTTAGATAGCCTGGATAGCAGTTAAAAACAAGCTCTTGTACAATATAATTAAGAAAGTCTGAAGGCGTCTTTTATACAGAGATTTGGAGAGTCATAGGGAGAATTATAATCCTGCCAGATAACTCTAAGAATTCGCTTGTTTAAAGTATCTATCTTCTCAGTACTATGCGCACCACAAAAGTGCCATACAGACGAACAATAGTTAAAATGTGGCATAATAAAAGCCTTATACAATCTTAGTAGAGTATATTTAGAGATAAGTTTACCAAATCTTAGCATTATATTGAACTGGCCATTTATCTTCTTACAAATAGTTGATATATAACTATCACAACGCAACTTATTGTCAATATTTCTTCCAAAGATATCCAAAGAATCTTTTAATGGAAAAGAGAAGTGGCCTGTTTTTCCCAAGACTATAGCCTGGTGTTTTGACTCATTTACAATCATTCCATTGCTGTGATACCACTTATTTGCAACTCTCACTTCCCGACAAATACAGTTCTCTAGAGCTACTGGGTCGACATCAGAAGAGTATAACTGATGATTGTCCGCATATGCGTGAAATTTACCTTGTGTAACCGAGTAAAACAGGTCGTTGATGAATATGTTAAAAAACACAGGCCCCAAAAAACTTCTCTGAGTATTAATTAAATCGAGGTTGTGAGTTCCTCTGATTTTTAACATGGTAACTCCTAGCTGTGTCTTAAGGAAATCTCATAGGACCTTGGATGTTCTTTCTATACTTAGTGTTGAATGCATGAATATTACAACAATGAAAGTGTAACCAAATGAAATTTTTAATTATCTGGTTGCTTGATACTTCATATCAATTACACATCTACATTCCTCATAACATCCTAACCCTGTAGAGGGCATTGCTGTTTTTCATAGAGATCACATTTATTGTTACAGAGCATTTTTTCTTTTAGTTCTTAAAATTTAACAGTTTGACCATATAGACTGAGGCAAATAAATTTGTATCCTATTAAGGAGACCTTAAACTCAGTTGTTAACTTCATTTGCTAAATCTGCATGAAGGTAAATTTTACTTTTTGTATCAAAAAAAGAAAATCAATTGAATCTACTTTGTTTTGTTTTCCTTTCAAAGTTCGGTCAAATGTGTCATTTAAGGCACGTGAAGCAGTCTATTACCAAATTTAGGGGTTTGGGGACTTGGACATTTTACCATGATAGTACACTGCTGACCTTTTAGACTTTGTATCACAGTACACTGCTGGTCTATAAAAAATAAATCTTTGCATTTATTGGTAAATTGAGCTGAACCTGTATTAAGTGATTCCCCACCAATAGAGGGGTGGCCATTTGATACAGGTTGGCTGCTTAGTACAAGTTTCACAGAATAGGGGTCAAACAATAAATAAAAGCCCCAATTTATGCTATAATTGATCATTCAATGTACAGGTCATTCAAAATCTTTCGAAAACATGATGACTCTGTTATCAAAATAATGGTGGCGAAGTGTAAAAACAACAATTAAAGCAGAATTACTGCAAGTGGTAGACAAGCTAATATCTAACAGTTGTAGCTCTATGTTGTTAATTTACTGGCAAATGACTTAGCTGCATGATGTTTGTACATAACATTTTATCTTCAAGTTCAAAGTCCTAAG